TAAAAACTACTTAACAACCAGAAAACAGTTTATATGCTAAGTAACAGGAAAATACTGTGGAATTCCACAAGATCCTGTTATATAAAAACATGCGATATATTATTTTCTAGTTTGAATTACGTCTTTACAAGAAAATATTTGTAAAAAATGATTTTATAAAAATGGTACTAGGTAATAAAATATTATGTCTTCTTCATGCTCCAGCTATTTATTTTATTGTATATGTATGTATATGAAAACTGTATTTATAGTGAGCAAAACAAACTGAAAAAAACACACCTAATATGTAACGTCTCCATTTTTTGTAAAAGTTTTTTATTTCTTTAACGAAATATTTTCAAAACTTATATTAAACAATACGAAATACCATTTAGTTTATATATTTACGTCTTAAAACAAAATATTTGTAAATTACAATTTAATAAAAATGGTGCTTGGTGGTAAGACTAAGTATGGCGATAAGACTTAATTATGTCTTTTTCTTTTTTTTGCTTTCTTTCTTGTACCAGCTTTTTATTTTATTGTAAAAGAATGTATATGAAAACTGTAAACGATAATGTACGAAACTGTATCCGTAACACCTAATATAATTTTTACATTTTTGAGGAAGATTTTTCTATTTCTTCAGCAAAATAGAAAAAAGACAAGTATTTTTTTGAAAACCTAACGGCTTAGAATAAATAAAATTATTTTCTTTAAAATAAGTATATCACCTATTAAACTCTCTATTTCAAAGAATGTTGAATGAACTGTTATTGATCTGAAAAAACTTATTTCACTTGTATTTCCTGATTTCAATATAGGTTGTACTTTCGGAATTTTCAGTTTCTCAGGAAAAATAACTTCTTTAAGATATTGTTTAAGTACTATAAATAAAGTAATTTTAAGCTCATTGTCATGTTGGTATTGACATCGTCGACTCCGGTTGCGTTGTTTCTTTTAAGGAACTTTGAAAAGTCTTATTAACCTCTAAGCTGATTAGTTTTTTATTAATTAACTCGTTTTTCTCATGACCTAAATATTTCTCAAAAAAATTATTTACACAAAGATTTTGAAGCTCAAGTCATCATGTCACAACCACATAAACAAAGAACCCTCCAAAAAACATCTGTTTTCAAAAAAAAAAAGTCGACAAAAAAAAGTTTAAAGTTTTTGAAAGCCACCCACCAGAGTTACTTCTTTTTAATTGATATGACTATTTTGAAGAAAATGCTATGTGAAGTGAATGTAAGTTCAGTTGTTGCGTTCCGTGAAAGTGGATTAGGCTTTCAGGCTATCAAAACAATTGCAAAGTGTATAAACTAATATAATATTTCTGAAAATCCTTTGAATAATTTAGGCAAAAAACGGTCTAGTATATGCTGTTTATATAAATGCTACAACTAAAAGTATAAATAGGAAAATTTATACTTTTAGTTATAGTAAAAAACAAAAAGCAAAATTTTTCACAAAAAAGAAAGAAGAAGACTCTTGTAAACAAACGTTCTAGAATAAATCTTTTAAACACTTCACCAGAAAAAGGTACATCTATCATAAGTATAAAAAGGGACATATTATAGATCAAACTAATCTCAATACGAATAGTGAAATAATAAGGCAAGAAGATAGTTATTTTTTATTTTTTATCAATTTCTTTATACTTAAAAATGTATTTCAACCAGAAACCAAAAAGAGACTATCAGTGACTATTTCAAAACATCCTGAAATTTACACAAAGATTTTGAAGCTCAAGTTTAGATTTTAAAAATATATTTTACCAAAGAAGTTGTTAAACTTGTTTATAAATGAATTTAACATCTTTATTTTAACAACATTGTATATAGTGTTGTTTTCATTATCAATCAATTTGAAACTGATTGTTATAGTTTTAATAAAGCATAGTTTTGCTTTACTAGCAATATAATTTATCTATCCCCACCCTGAACGAAGGTTAAATTTTCTCGTCATGCATAAATGTTACCAGTCCTGAATATAGTTTTTTTTTGGACCAATCCATTTTGAAGATTGTGGCAACAATCTTTGTACTGGGACTTTTTTATATAGCAACTGATTACTTTTTATCTGAAAAATATTGAGAAAATTTAGTATCTTTTTTTTCTGGATTTTGTTTAACACTTGAAGAGCACAGGGAACAGTGGGCCATGTGCAGCGCCCTCCCTAAGAAATCTGGAAGAAAGAGGGAAGGGTGTCGTATCTGCTTGTTTATTTTTCCTCTTGTTGGCAAATTTTTGCTGACTGCCGACTACACACAGATCTAATTTTTCCGAATCTAGTTTCACAATGAAAAAGGTAACTATATTACAATTGTCAAAAAAATGAAACTTTTCCAATTCTCAATTTCAATCAAAATTCTTTGTAAACAAAGTTGAAAAATTTGATACTGATTTAAACAAATATTTCGAATTTTTCTAACATACTTTAAATTAAATTACATATATATCAACTACAAAGTGATCTGACTCGTTTATGTGTATTAACTAAATGACTTTCCTCTTTTTTAAACAATACACTCGTTGTTTTTCAACCAAACAGAAAAAAAAACCTTTGATTTTTTTTATCTTAGCAATTTTATTTATCATGCTCCATCTTGTTATGTTTAATTTTTATCTTAAGTTTACTTTAATTTAAATAATATCAAAATTTACTTGTACTTAATAAATTTAAACATCTGGGACTCACATAGGAAACTAAACATTCAACTTTTGTCTTACTCAATAATACAAATGTTGATGAAAAAATTTCAAACTTTTAGCTGTTGTTCAAACTCTTATTCAATCCGGAATCCGGTTTGCCCACCCAAGTTCATTTTCCTATATATATAAATTATTGACAGTCCCTACCTTAACTTATGGTATGGAGCTATGTGAAAATAATTCTGCTTTGATAAAAAGGCTAGATGTAATTGGAAGGAGTGCACTAACATCGTTTTTAAATGTTTCAAAACACACAGAAAGAAGTAAACAAATTTACTATTTAAAATGCAGGATTTTTCAAAAGGTATTCAATAAATTAATTAAACTCGCTTTTTTGTCTTCATAATAATAAAACAATTTCAGACATTATCGCTTCACAAATGAAACACCCGTTGTTTCAGTTGTGAAACAACGGGTGTTAACTTGTTGGCAATAACCCGTTTTCGGATGCTAAACTTTCAAAATTTAATTCAAATAAAAAAGAAGATAAAATAGCACTTTCTAAAAGTGAAATTCCCTTCAAAGTTGAACAAACTTTAAAATATGCAATAGAGTGCTGGAATGCAAAAGAATAAAAAGGAGTTTTTAAACAAATTCTGGAAGAAAAATATCTTCAGTGAAAATCACGAGAAATAACTTTCTTATTTTTCTTTTTAACTTATTAGTTACATTAGGTGTAAAATAAAATAAAATAATTATATTTAACATAATCATTATAAAAAACATTTAAAATTTGTGTTTGTTTAACCTTTTAAATGCATAAAAAAATTTTTAATCAGACTGCCTTATTAATATTTGTCTTTATTATTACTTTGATCAAGTCACTTGAAACAATGCAAAATTAACAGTTGCTAGGCATTTTAGGCGTTACTATCAGCCAAATAAAAAATATATAGTACCACTACACTTGTAGTATAAAAATTACTCAATGTGGTAGTTATGGAAGAATTTTGATAAAGTGATTACTTTTTTCCAGTTTATATTAATTATGGTCTATAAAATATGTGGTTGCTATGCAGTTTTGGTATCCTTAGCTACTTAAAATAATTATATTAACATTAATCCTCAAATTAGTAATCAATGCAAAAATAATCGTCAAATCATTTAATTATATAATGAGTAATTAGTTTTGTCTAGCGAAACTCCGAAACATGAACCTTGACAAACAAGTTCGTCAAGGTTTGTGTTTGGGAGTTAGGAAGTTGAAAAAGGGTTAAAACCACAACTAAAGTAACCTCATCGACTGCAGTGTCTTTCATGGCTTTGGAGAGGTGAAATAAAGTATATATAAAAAGGTGAATTCTGGCTCACTGTGCAGAAGAACATTAATACAAAGTTTTGAGAAAGTACATATCAATAATTTATTAAAGTCTTTATTTAAACTTGGGTTCGGAACTTATGCGCATATCGGCAAATATATGCGCATACTATTCAAAGTTATGCGCATAATTATGCGCATAATATGCATATGAGCTGCATACAAATTTACCAGATAAATGCTATATAAAATTACTTAAATATTGTCAAACATAGAAAAAAATGTTTTTTAAATCAAACGCAGGTGACCTTAAATTAAAAAAAAACAATTTTTTAATCGATTTTTTGTAATTAATTTATTTATAAATATTTCAAATAAAAATTCTATTAAGGATTTAACTCTTTTATACAATATTTCAAGGGATTATTGATACCCTCGTTGTCTAGTATATAAATCTATATAAAAAACCGTTGAATACAAAACAAAAACAAATCAATGCAATAGTTTCTTTTCTTTTAAATATCGAAACAGGTTTCCAAAAGGAAATTGTGACGTAACCTCCGTCGTCCTGATTAAGACCGCCGTCTGAAGGCGAGCATTTATGACGCTGTATTTCAAGCGCTTCCTGTTAAAATTATTAACCTCTACTTTTAAGGTATTTTTATTGTTCCATGTAAAATTGCCATGACAATTTTTTAAATGTTCCGCTATTGCTGAGTAATCCCAATTTTCTTCGTATGTATTTTTTTGATGTTGGTAAATGCGAGATGAGATTTTTAATTTTGTTTCACCGATATAACATTTTTTGCAGGAGCATTCAAGTTTGTACACACCTGGGTAAGAATTTATAGAAAGAGGAGGTTTATTTTTTGTGGTAAGTATATGTTGTAAATTTTTTGGAGATTTAAAAACTGGAGTGTAACCTGCTTTTTTGAAAGCTTTTTTTAACTTCGGGCTAATTCCTGGAATCCACGGTAAAGTTATTAAAGACAATTTTTTTGATGCAATTGATGAACGTTGAGTTTCAATATTTTGTTTTTAATTGGTTATTAAGTAGTTTTAATATGTAAAATTTCTTTAGTGGTTTTTATAATATGTTCCAGGATCGTTTTTTTATAACCATTTTCTACAAAAACATCAACTAGAAATAATAACTCTTGTTCAATATTATTATTAGAGCATAAATATAATGCCCTATGAACAAAACCTTTGAAAATTCCGTTTACAATTTTTGGATCATGGCATGAGTTAGGTTTGATTTGGACATTAGTTAAGGCATTTTTACGGTAAACTTTAAAATCGTACGTACCAGTTTTATTGTTAATAATAGTAACATCAAGAAAGTTCGGCGTGTTATTTTCATTTTCGATTTCCATGGTGTACTGAATATTTTTATGTTGGTTATTAAGTAGTATTAAAATTTTTTTCGCATCTTCAGTAGAGTTAAAACGAGAATGGGTGTCATCGACATATCTTTTAAATGACTTTAATTGAATATTATTGGAAATTGCTTGTGCAATAGCATTACTTTCGTGAAACTGCAGAAAACACTCCGCAACTACTACCATAAGTCCTAAACCAAAAGGTCCAGAAACTTCAAGTTCATAAATGTCATGTTCAAATAAAAAATAACAATGCAAAAGGCATATATCTAAAAGTGTTTTTATTTCTTCAAAGGTAAATTTTGATGTAAAGCTAGGATCATTTTTCAACCTCTCAATAAGGATAATTATCGCTTCCTTTACTGGGACTGAAGTACATAAATTAATGATATCATAAGACACTTAGATTTCATCTTTGTCAATATTCCATGAATTAGCTAAGTTAACAAATTGTTAAGAGTTTTTTAAATGTGTATTGTTCTTGTTGAGGATGGGTTGTATCATATCAGTTAAGAATTTAGAAATTTTGTATGTAGCCGTTCCAATAGTGCTTACGATAACTCGCATCGGGTAGTTTTTTTCAGGTTTGTGGTCCTTTATGACTCCATACAAACGAGGTGGTATAGCATCACTCGGGTAAATATCTTTATATTCTTTAACCGTAAATCAACCTGCTTTATTTAGTTTTCTGAGTGTGTTTTGAACTTTACGAATGATTTGTGGAGTTGGGTCTAAACTTTGTGAAGTTTATATACGAACTTTTGTTAACGACAAACATAATTTTCAAACTATAAGTTACCAATAATTCTATGAACGAATGTTTATAAAATCTAGAGAAAAATTAAAAAAAAAATTTGAAAAGTTATCTCAAAAAAAGTTGCTACATAAAGAAAAGTTACTACATAAACAAAACAATAACAATAACAACAGCACCAACCATAAAAAACCAATTAAAAAAGTTAAAGAGGTAACACTTAATTTAGCTAATTCTGATATACCAATGCATCATAATATCATAATGCATCAGATAAGAAGTTTTAATTTCAAACTCTTCAATGATGTCTTTTAAAATTTATAAATATTTCATATTATTTTCATGATTTTTAAACGAATTTCTATATCACAAAAACTTAACAATTAAATTTGTTTTTGTATTAAATTTGCTTATTTAAAATTTCTTCACATTCAAACTCGCTGAGAACTACTTCCTCTAAAATGTAGTTTTTGTCGTTTGTATTCATCAAAACACTATTTGTATCAAAACTGTTTGTATCCAATCAAAACACTATTGGTATATATGAAAACTAAATTTTTTAGGCGTTCGTTTGTCAAGAGATTTCTCAATCTTCAATAAATTCATCGAAAAGTTGACAAAGTTCATACTGCTTTAGCTGACAAACAAATCATTTCAATAGTATAATTTGCAACTTTATAAGACTGGACAGTTTTCATATAATAGGGGAGAGTAGAGAGAAGTGGAACAGCCTGAAATTTCTAATTAGGAGTGGAGCCTAAATACTGTTATTTAATGTAAAAAGTTAAATTTAATCCCCTCTATATATCAGAAATTGATTTTTTTCCTCGCGTGCGCTAAAAGCCTAAATTTTGAAATGTACCTTAAAAAAATGTTTACATTGGGGTGAAGTAGGACAGAAAAAAAAAATAATTATGCCCGCTTCTTCCCGTCGCACAGTGACTTAAAACAACAACAAAAATTGCTTTTGTTAGATAATAATAAATGACAATGATTTTTAATTTCAAAAGTAAAAATATATGCCTTTTGCATTGTTGTTTTTTTATAAAACTTTTATTCGGTATTTTCAAAAAGAAGTGAAAAAATTTTTTTATTTTTTTAGAGAAATCTGAAAAATATAAGGTTTTTATTTAACTAAACTAGAAAATTTAAAATTTAAATAAAAGTGTATATTTATTTTTAAATAATTTTTTGATTAAAAATAACAAAAAACATTTTTTTTATTTTTATTTTATTTGAATTAAATAGATATTTCAAATATAATAAAAAGAAAAAAAAAGTTTTTCGTTTTTTTATTTTAAATTTAAAGACTTTTAAGAAAAAGAAGAAAATAATTGTATTTTTTTTTGTTTATATATCAGCTAAAAAAAATATTCCACCGAGTTCCATATATATATATATATATATATATATATATATATATATATATATATATATATATATATATATATATATATATATATATATATATATATATATATATATATATATATATATATATATATATATATATATATATATATATATATATATATATATATATATATATATATATATATATATATATACACACATATAATATATATATATATATATATATATATATATATATATATATATATATATATATATATATATATATATAACACACATATATATATATATATATATATATATATATATATATATATATATATATATATATATATATATATATATACACACATATATATATATATATATATATATATATATATATATATATATATATATATATATATATATATATATATATATATATATATATATATATATATATATATATATTTTCCAATTAATTAACATTTCTATTTTAGGAATATAAAAGAATTACTGCGGTTTCCTGCGATATTAGAAGTTATTAAAGAAAAACAAATGTTGATGATCTTATAAAAACCTTGTTTTCTTTCATTTTGCTATGAAGTTTATTATATCAAACAAATGAAATTGGCGTGAAACTTAATTTTAAGTTTTTTGCTTGTAGAACTTTTTCTAATATAGTTTTTTAATCATAAATATTAAATATAGTTTTAAAAAACGTGCTTTTGTCATTATATATTATTTAGAAGTTTATTAAATATTTATTGACAATTTTAAAGAACCATTTATTATTCGATAAGTACAACATGTTTGAAAAAGCTTAATTGAGCAATTTTAGAATTTCCTGTAATATAAAGTTAACAAAGTACCCGTTGGGAAATCGGCTAGCGAACAGCTATTTGGCCACAAGGATCGCTAGCTTTTTTAAGTTAGCGAAAAGCTATCGATATTTGGAAAGATAAAGACAGCAATTTGGCTACGAGGACAGCTAGCTTAATAAGCTAAAGACTCACAGGCTATTGTAGCTACCGTCATATTGTAATGAAATCGCTTATCAAAAAAATTTTGGTATGTAGCTATCAACCAGTTATAGATTTGTAGATGTTTTGTAACTCGCTATAAAGCTAGGATATATATCTAGCGACACATTGCTACAAAATCTCAATGTTTAAAGTTCAATTATTCTCGTAATTATAATAGACTCAACACTTAAAATCGATTTTTAAAGATGATTAGAGACATTAGTAAAGAATAAAATAAGAAAAAAAAAATCGCTTGAAAATTGCTATAAAGCTAGCTAGTCGCTCGTTAGTCGCTAGCTCATTTCCCACCAGGTAATATAGTGTTATTACAGGATGTAACAATGTGAAAATTGTTAAAAGTCATAACAAAATAAAATTTAAAACGTTTAAAAAAATATGTAATGTAATTTAAAATGTTTCTGATATATTAGTTTTATTATATTGATGGTTCTTAAAAACAATAACAATGAAAAGATTAGATCTTATCCTAAATATACGTGAATTAGGAATTGATAAATTAAAATTATGGAAAGATTTACTTAATGAAATAAAAAATACTGAAGAAATTCGCAAAGAAAACTTAAATAAAGTAAAGCTTGTTTTTGTTTTGAGGGCACAGGAAAACACGTGCTCCCCCCACCTCGTCCAATTTGCATTTTTTAAATGTTGAAATAAAATATTTACTTGAATAATAAAAATTAGAGTTGGTTAATAAAAGTTAAAAAATTGGAATATTCATTTAATCTAATAGTTATTTCTGTCAATACAACTGCTTTCTAAAATTCTCCTGCATTTGTCGAATTCTTAAATGAGAGTTCTTAATACTTCAAACTTAATATTTTTAATATTTTAAGTTTTGTATAAACATGTAAAAATAATCTTTTTCCTGCCGTTTTTAATGATTTAATTACCTTGAAACCTGCCATGAAATATTCTCTAAGAAATACCAACCTTCCATATGAGCCTTTTTGTCGAACAAGTTTTACCCATTTTGCATTGATTACCGTGCACCCCATTTTTTGAATAAAGATGTTTTACCTAATTTTGATTTTAATCTACTTTTTTGCATCTTTTTAAAGTTAAGCTGAAAAATCTTTTACTATATCATATTATCAAAATTTAACAGCAATATTTATATTATAAAAACATTTATTAAACTTTACTAACTACACTAAAAAGTTATATGTGTATGTATATATTATTTTTTATATTATTTTATTATACTGCAGTTATATTTATAGTTACTTTATAATCTAATATTTTGTCTACACTAGTATAGTATAAAGTTCTGACAATAAGATCTTACTGCGCTTCTTTCAGATACTTCTCTAATTTTTTTTTTAACAGATAAAAACTGTTAATGTTTTAACTTGTTTTTTGGTACCAACATATGTAATAATTACTTTTTGTCATAGAACTGTTGCCAAAATAAATAGTAAAAAAATTTCTATAAATTTTGTACTTAATGGGACATTAATAATCATTTTTTTAGTTTGCGCCAACATACTCTGGGGTGAAAAAAGTTAACAATTTTTTTTTTTTTAGTGGTACCCAAAATGCCCTATGAAATTTTTTTTTTTAATAAATGCAAGTTTAAAGTGTTTCTGAAATTCATACTTTTAAAAACCGTGATTTAATATTTACAAAAAATATTTTGTCGTTATGACTACAGAGTTCAAAAAGTTAAAACAGAGGTAATTAGCTCCGGTCTTTCATTGGTTATTTTAAATTATTTTTATTTAATAGTTTTAAGCCTTTTAAGAATTTATATATTTTTTGTAACTTTTGTTGATGTATAATCAACATGAGTTTTCCATGACAGATTTTTATCAAAATAAATAACGAGGAACTTTATAAAGGAATCTTTTTTAATTTCTACTCTACCGATAAATTTTTAAGCAAAATACGTTTTTTTGTGAAGGGTTTTTTTTTGGATATATCGGGGTGTTCACTCTGCTGGATAAACTGAAAGAACTAGAAAGGACTGTTTTGAAAGGCATACTAAAAAACATAAAAAAATATTTTTTGTGCATAATTGATTCAATGATTATAAAAAACACATTTTCCAGTTATTCAATTGAGTTTTTTAAAAATAGTTTTGTACATTTTTTTAAATTTGTTTTGAGTTGACACTCTGTGTATTATGACATCCGGCCTCAAAAAAATGTAAATAAACTAAAAAGTAGAGTATCAAATTGTAGATTGAACCTTGCAAAAGCGTTTTTCTGTTATTTTTAGGGAGTTATAAAATCTTTAATATATATTAACTATATTAACAAACTTAATTTATTACAATAAGAAAAAAATGCCTCCTGTAAAAAGAACTAGACGGTGTAATTTATATGGTGGTAGCCCTTCTGATTTTCCTATTACAGATTTAGCAACTTATGGTGATGTAGCAAGATTTTTCTACAAATTAAAAGATTTAGATGGTATTAAAGACAAAAATGTTATTATTCAAAGAACGCTTTGTAGTTTAAAAGAAATATGGTTCCATTGCCGGCTCAAGGGAGGCTAAGGGGACTATAGCCCCAGGCCCCGCTGTTTTAGGGGCCCCAAAATATTTTAGAGGACCTTCCCTTTTTTTTATGTCATTTTTAGGCTCTGCTCCATAAAAAGGCCTCCAAAAACAAAAATAGCCCCATGCCCCAAGAAGTTTTCATCCGCCTCTGTATGGTTCAATTGCAATTCCAAATTAGTTTTGTTACCTGAAAAAAGTTTGATTGTTAAACTTTTAAGATTTTATAATAATGTTATTTCTTGGAATAGAATTAAAATTAAACCTTTGACCAAAAAATTGTTTGAAAAAAATAAAGAAAAAACTTTTTGATCTGATAACATGTAACTGCAAGCTTGAAGTTTTTCCTTGTGATGACAGGAATATCAAATGCTCAGGTTGTTCAAATGTGCATTTTTACTGTAGTTGTGTTGGTAGTACAAAAGTAAGTTAAACAAATTTAAAGTAATTTATTTTAAATTAAACTTTAAATAACTTATTTAATTTTTATTGATAAACTTTTTTATATTTTATTATTATTTTTTATATTTTTAGATAATAATACGTTTTACACAAATTAATTGAAAATAATATTTAAAACCAGAAATATTTATTTAGGTTTCTTTGGAAGAGCGCTCCTATTTAAAAGACCAAAGGGAGAAAATTGGTACTAAAGAAAATTTTCAAATAGGAGGTATTGATAACTCTGTTTTATCACCTACCTCAAGAAATACAATGCAAACAAAAGCTTCTGATGAAGAAATTTATATTAAAGAGTTTGACACAATCATGGATTCAGATCAGGTAATAAATTTTGACCTGTAAACTTTACAACTGTAAAGTTTAAACTGTAAAGTACTATAACACTATCCACTGTCTCAAATTTGCTTTAGAGATAATTAGATATGGAATATCAGATAAAGCAGCTGCCCCTGTAGCTAATGCTCTACTTCAAGATATTGGTTATCTACATCTTAATGATGCAATTGACCCAAGTAAAATGAAGAGAGAGAAAGAGCGAGTATGCTTTAATGCTAGTTTTGAGCAATCTAAAGTTTCAAATATAAAGACAACTGGTTTGGATTGCAAAAGCATTTGTTCGGCGGATTTTGATGTTGGATACTGAAGTTCAAAATTACATTGGCCATAATTTATAGAAACTCTTTTTGTCTCCAACCTGAAAATTTTATTGCTGCTCTACTTTATTCTGAAGAACAGGTTTATAGAACAATTGCTGTTGTTCAGATTATGGAAACAAGAAAAACCCTAATTAAGGATCCTAAAAAATGGATTAAAAGATGGTATTAGGGTTAACGCCATTCCAGGCGTTAACCCTAATACCATTAATTGTAGATGTAAAATGAGGGGTCATTTGGCCTTTGAAGTTATGCGGATCAAACGTTATTGAATTTTTTTACAAAAGGTGTAAGGCTTTCACATTTAGTGAAAGGCGTTTACTTATAAACCATTCGTTTACTTTAGATAATTCTTCATTAAAAATATTAAAAAGAGTTTTTTATATCTGTGTGTGAATAAAACAGATTGGAATCGTCAGCAAACAATATAAGATAAATTTTTTAGATTAGGTTATGCATTGTTTTCTGTTAGTCAAGTAGTTTTTAAACCAAAGTAAGTTTAAGTTGTTTACTCCATAAAGTTCTAATTTTTTTATAAGGATTTCATGATTGACAGTGTCAAATGCTTCGGATAAATTAATGAAAACTCCTAAGGTAAAATAATCTTTATCAAAAGCATCCGATATAAAGTTTACAAGCTCAATTACCGCGTGATCCGAATTGATTTTTTTTAAACTCAATTTGTTTGTTGAACAGAATATTATTTGATACTAAATGATTATAAAGCTTATTATATAAAGCGTACATAATGCGTTCTAGCAATTTAGAGAAACAAGGTAATACAGAAATAGGTCTGTAGTGTCCGGTTTTAAGTCAGGTGAAAAAAAAAACGTTTAAAACATTTATTTTTTCACCTGACTTAAAAACCGGTGTGATTTTGGCTATTTTAAGTTTATCTGGTACAATACCAGACGTTAATGAGAGATTAAAAATGTGAAACAATAAGGGTTCAATAATATCAAAGACTGATTTAACTACATTAACGCTAATTTTATCTATGCCTGCACTTTTGTTATTTTTCAAAGAGGAAAAAGCATTATGCAACTCACTTATATTTAAATTTAGTTCTGTCATAACATTATTTGCTGTTTTGAGGCAAGTTTCAAATTTTATGGTACTAGATGGAATTTTAGCCGCCAGATTTGGACCGATCTCAAGAAAAATACTATTTAGCTTGTCAGCTATGGTTTCTTTATCATAAACAATTTTTTCATCAATGAACAGCTTTTGTGGAAAATTATTATTATTATTATTTTCTATTAAACACCCAGTAATAAAATTACAGGTAAATTAATTTATATTAAAACCGTTACAAATTAAATTAAGGCCAGTCTCGGCTCTCCAAATATTTGTCTTTATATTTTGGCGAAGTATCTCATAAATATTCAACAAAGTTTTCAGAGGATAACTTTATTGTTCCTAGAATTAATCTAAAAATAAGTTCTTATCGAATTCAATATCGAGGACCTTTTTTATGGAAAAATTTTATTAAAAACTATAATAAAGAACACTACTCTTTAGAAAAATTTAAAACAGTTTCTAAAAGAATCTTACTTCAATTAGATTTTAATTCGATAGACTTTAAATACTTTTTTTAATAGGTAACTTTAAAATAGAAAAAACGCTTCCATTAGCACTAAATATATTTTGTTATATGTATCAAATATATTTGTATTAGTATACAAAACTTTTTTTATTTTTAAATTTTCAATATAATTGCCATTTTATTATTTGAAAAAAGTTATGTATTTTTTAACGTTTTTTTGTATATTTTATTCAAAATTGTTTATAAACACGGAAAAATTGTAAACGGGGCTCGGTGGTAAGACAGTCATTGTCTTCTTCTTGCTCCGGCCAATTTTTATAAATGTAATATGTCTTTATTGTAAATATATGAAACGGCACAAATATATATATATATATATATATATATATATATATATATATATATATATATATATATATATATATATATATATATATATATATATATATATATATATATATATATATATATATATATATATATATATATATATATTTCATAATTTCCAACTGTTATTACATTTGACTTGAAATTTTTGATAGGGATGCAAAAATATTAGAAAAATAAATACCATAATTTTTTTTACATTTATCGGGATTGTATAGAATTATTAATTTTACAGACTGAAGTGTTATTTTCTTATTTAGCTAATCTTGAGGAATAAAATTTCGAGTTATATTATAAAAACTCGATGCAAAGATGCATAAAGAATCACCAAATCCAATTAATTCGTCTGTTTATAACTATTGCCTAATTTACAGACCGATTAGTACATTACTGCGTAAGGGCATTGAAATCTATCTGAATCATTCAGAAATACCTATATAACATACAGAAGATAATAAATAAGTTTATAATTTAAATTTAAAAGAAAATATTTACATCAATAGAGCTTCCTGAAAGTTTTAGTACTTACATCAACATTAGCAGGTGTAACAGCAGAAACTCTACCTAAAATTATTTAAAAAAATTATTATTAAAAACACAGATGCAAAATAATTTTTAAAAAGTATTTGTTATTTCGTTTTAAAATCAAAAACAAAAAAAAAAACTATAAAATAACAATTAAAACTAAAATTAAAGGTAAAAAAATAAACAAAAACAACATTAAAACAAAAAATGTTGCTATTCTACAACTTATCTTTTAGTTTTTAGTAAATTATTAGAAATAGCAAGTTTCATTAACGAACAACCTAATAACTATTTTTAACGATAGACACCGAGAAGGTAAGCCAAGTTGTCTATCAACACAAAACATCACAACAATAACATCACAAAACATACAGACCGTGTGGCACTAAACGCTGCAAATTCACACTACACACTCGCGTGTGGAGTTTTTCTCCAAACAAGCGTGCAGCTGGTTTGGAGAAAAACTCTACACGCGAGTTTATCACTCCTAGACACATGTGGAGGTATTTTGTACAGTTTTTTGCAAATAACTACACACTTCTGTACAGAAGTCGAGTTAGAAAAAGTTAGTTTCCACAAAAGTGTGTGAAATAACTCCACACTTGTGTCTAAGAGTGATAGCTACACACCGAAATTTGCAGCCCCCTCAAACTAAGGGGAGTTGAAACTTTTCATGGTCATAATTTTTAAATGCTAAAAGAATATTGCGTGAACTTTAAAATTTATTGATGAATATAGATTTAGTTAAGAATAGTATAAAAATTATTTTATTAATTTGTAGCTCTTACGTTTGGGACAGATGTAGCTAAAATTTTAGAGCTTTTTTGTTCCCAGGCTCCAATCGTTGTAAATTTTAGCAAAGCAGAATGAAGATAAATGTGGCCCAATTGTGGAACACATAATGCGGTTCACATAACTATTCCACTTAATACATGTATACTTATTTTAGGTGACGCATTACTATACATTTTATTTGCGGTTGCGGAAATTTGCGCTATTTTAAAATATAACATTGCTTAAGTATAACTATAAATTTTTATAAAACTTGTATAAATTTGTATAAAACAAGCCTTAAGGCTTGTTTTAAGGCTTTGTATTCTTAAAACTGTTAATCAGTTTTCTAGCTAGATTTATATCCTGAAAACCTTTTTTCTTCCACCACCAGATTTGCGTTTGATCAATTTTATTTGGGAAAAACGTTAAATAAAATGATAAAAACGGTATAGGAATGAACATGCTACTTTTTTACTTATTTAAGTATAAAAGGAAAAATAAAATATGTTTTTCGATACAGCAACATGTTGTAAACATGTTTTAAATGTAGGGGAAAAGCGCCTATGATGGCATACTTAACCTTGAAGCTTAATTATTCAGTATGCTGAAGATCAAGAATAAAAGTTTTGATATGTATACATTCTTTGTTAAATGTAGAACAATAATAACCCTAGCAGCTTTTATCAGCTTTAGTCTTTATTAGTTATTTTTATTTTAAAAAAAAGCACAAGTATGCCATTATAGGCAACTACTGCTCCTATGATGGTATAGGGGAGGATGGGGCTGGTTAGCATCAAGGGTAACTTAAAAAATTTCATTTGACCGTAGAGTCTTCCGTCAGAAATGCCAGAAAATACTCGTAATTATCCTAATTAACCCTTTCATGCTACTGAGCAGCAGTGTAGGATTTCACGCATGCGCATAAGATATATCGCGTTTTATATGTTTTTTGAACCAAAAATGTTGTAGTGAAGTAAAAATTTCTTGTTATTTTGCTAACAAATATGTTGTTTTTATGAAGAAAAAAAAAGGTTTTCTTAACTCGTCAATATTACAACACACCTAACTCGTCAGTATGCTATCATAGGATAAAGTCATCATTTTCATTTAATCAAGCTATGTCTGTCTTGTTCAAAAGATAAAATTAAAATAAGTATTCCACTAAATGCACAAAACTTGGAAATAAAATGCATGAAAATTTCGTTTCTGCGCAGTTAATAATAAAATTACAAGATAAAATATTTTAAGGGGTACAACAGCACATCCTAAAATCTTTGTTGATTACAAAAGCAATATTTGACGTATTTTTACTCAAACTAATGTAAAATCAGTATAGACATGTTAGTCGAATCACTTTTTCGTCATAACCAATATTTATGAAAATATAATCGGTATGCCATCATAGACGCTATGCCATCATAGGCGCCTTTCCCTTAACTTGATAAGTTAAATCTTATATTTATTATGAGCTATTACTATTTTTGAATTATGGTATTCTTTTAAAAGGGTGATTAATATAAAACTGTTTAGAAGTTACTGTTTTCAAACGCAAATCGTAACAAATCAAATTTGTTACGATTTGCGTTTGATCAACTTTGTTTGGGAAAAAAGTTGAATAAAATGATTAAAAGTGAAGGAATGTACTTGCTACATTTTTTACTTATTTAAGTATGATAAAAAAATCAAACATTTTTTTCGAAACAACAACTAAGTTGTAAATAAAATAAAAATAAAATTAAAAATATA